TTCACTTGAAAAAAATCCTAAATTTTTAATAAAAAAAAAACATACATAAAAAAATTAAATATTTTTAAGCAAACTATGTAATTTCCATATTCTGCGAAGCTCTCTCCCAGCCAAATCAGACACTAAGGTTGTCAATGCCTTTCGATGGTCGATTGCTGTTAAATGAAACATTCTGGGCGCGTCCACCGGCGCTAAAGGCCGCTTAATTGGTCAATTCCTCAGTTGAAATCGGACTTTTTTAATAAAATGGAATATGGAGCAGCTCGAATTTCAATTCTCGATTTATTCGAAACAAAAAAAAAATCGATCTTTTGGAGTCATGGATTAAGAAACGGTATCTTTGTTGTAAATACTTAAATACAAAGTGGTGAAAATGATTATATTGGCAACCATTAAAATATCTAAAATGATATCGATAACGGCGTTATAATCACAAAAAAGAAATTAGCTTGGGGTATTTTTAAATTAAATATGATAAGGTAGACGAAGAGACCAATTCTCGTTCTATGAAATGGTGAACAGAAAATGAAAAATTCAAATTTAGTGAAAATTTTATTTTTTCACTTGTATCACATAATTTTATAATTCTATGGTCATAAGCAATAACCGCCTAAATCGACTTAAGAAAGAATTGAGTTATATATGCTATCGTATTCTGCAACTACTATTCCATGTATATGTGAAATCCCCATCTCGCCAGCTAGGCTATTTAAAAAGTTATAGACGAACATATTTTGGTTTCCCCATAAGGAAGGATGGATAAGATTACGATCAAAATGTTTAAAACTTTTTTCTCGAATTCAGGTTTTTCGACTTAGGTGGTTATTGCTTATGACCACAGATTTTTAAGCGATTATCGATCACTAAGGATTTTCCATAAACATCTAGCTAATAATTATTTGGTAAGTTATTGTTAGTAAAAGATAATCATATTCTTTACCAAAAGATTATTGGCCTTATTCGTAAAAATTAAATATATTAATTTATAGCACAATTCTGTATCGATGACAACATTTTTTTTTTTACTGACAAATTTAAACTTTTTCATATACAGTTACTGACAATAAAATAGAATCAAGTCGGTTGTTCCGAAACAATCAGCGGTTTTTCCTCTTTGCTATATATTTCCGATAACTTTCGTCTGTAATCGAATTAGTACACTATTTATCGTTTAAGATGTCATAATGGCAACACTTTTTCGTTTTACTGTTATGTTTATGCTTAAAATTTGCAAGAGTGTACTTTGACTATTGTGGCAATAAAATAGAATCAAAAAAGGAAACAAGCAATTCGAAGTGATTTTTGGTGCGTAAACTGTATTGTAAGTTATAAATTGGCGTATTTAAACAATTCTTAATGAAATTTGCGTTAATTTAGGAAAAATGGGTCGCGGAAAGCATTGTACTGCAGAAGAACGTAAACACATAAAATTTGCAAAAAGAAATGGTTTTACGCAAAGGGAAATCGCAAAAATTATTAATAGATCACAAATATTTGTGTTTACTGCTCTATCTCCTCCAAAAGAATGCAAACTGAGAGGCCGACCACGCAAAACAACGCCAGCGGACGATAATTTCATAGAGAGGTTATCAAAACGCGATCCTTTCAAATCGGCTGCGGTCATTCAAAAGGAAATAAATGTGGAAATATCTTCAAGAACTGTTGCTCGTCGTCTTGTAGAAAGGAATCTATTCGGCAGATTGTCACGAAAGGTCCCAATGTTGACAAAAAGACAGAGACTTAGTCGAGTAACTTTTTCGAGAGCTCACTTTAATTGGTCCGGTGCAGAAAATTCAAAGAAGTGGCGAAATATTTTATGGTCTGACGAATCTAAAGTAAATATGGTGGGCAATGATGGAAAAGTGTGGGTCCGACGTCCAAAAAATGCAGAAATGAATCCCAGGTACACAACAAAAACATTTAAGCATGGTGGAGGGAATATAATGATATGGGGATGTTTTTCGTGGTACGGTGTCGGACCGCTGTTTTGGATTCGGGAAAATATGGACCGTTATCTTTACCTTAGAATATTAGAAGATGTTATGCTACCTTATGCCGAATGGAATATGCCTTTGATTTGGCAGTTTCAACACGACAATGACCCGAAACATACTTCGGGTCTTGTAAAAACGTGGTTACAGAGTCGTGGAATCGATGTGATGGCGTGGCCTTCACAATCGCCGGATTTAAATCCAATAGAGAACTTGTGGAAGATTGTGAAGGAAAAGCTTGGGCCCTCTAAATCAAAGAACAAGGAGGAACTTTGGCAAAAAATCCAGGAAGCTTGGTATTCCATACCAAAGTCGATCTGTGAGACCCTAGTAGAATCTATGCCGAGAAGATGCACTGCTGTACTTGCAAATAACGGGTTTGCTACCAAGTTTTAATACTGGATCATTTTTTGAATGGAGTTTTTTTGCAATTTTTGAGTGAATTCCATGACTGTTTACTTTAAAAGATTTTAATGACATTATTGCAATAGCTGTTCATGTGTTTTTGAGTTACTTATATGTAAAATTAATAAAAGCAACTAAATACATGTTTTGAAATGGTTAAGAAATGTTTAGTACATGTTTTGGCAAATATCTATGGGAAGAATGTTCGATTCTATTATATTGTCAATAACTGTATTTTTTCCGTAATAAAAACTGTGACAAGAACTTGTATAGAAGAATAGAGCTATAAAAGAGGTCTATAAAGTGACATTTTCATAAAAATTTTCAATTACTAAAGCAGTTAAAGTCTTCTTTATTTTTTATAAATGTTTTTAATGAATGGGACAATGGGACAAAACGCTGCACTTATCATTTTCACAGTTAAAATTTTTTGAAAAATAAATATTTTTTTTTCGTCTGAAAACAGAATCGTAATTTTATGTGAAGTGATAAAAAATGTTTGCAACTTCACGTTTTCAAAGTCCAAGAAGTGGCTCCCAGTAACGGCGTTAGGCGTTATTTCAATTTCCACCATTAGTGTATGTACATAGTATATATATTGCTATGTCAGGATTATACACATAGTTAATTCACATGTAAATATATATTCTTACTTTCATATTCCTTTGTTCAATTTTGTATGAATGTATATTTAGCTATATATTTTAGCTGTTTACATTTCAACTCAACTTTGTTCTGTTCTACTCCCACTGCTGCAGTTTATTCGCAGTACTCCCACATATTTATGTATGTACATCTATACATACTGTATACGTCCATATGTATTTCGTGGCAAAACTGCACTTTGTACAAATAAAACTTGTTTGGATAGTTGTTTGTCCGTCGTCTGCTGGACACTTCATCACTGTCAGCTTCAACACTAGCACCCATTCCCCACACCTTAATTATAAACACATACATAAGCTATACATATACTGCATTCAAGCATATTCGTATGTAAAATGTACATACTAGGTACACTGGGCCAGGAACCTTGCTTTCGTGACCAAAAGTTTGAAACACTTAAAAAGATTTCTTACTACTTGTACAATGTACATTATGCTTTTGATAGCGGAGAGAAAAAAAGGGTCTTCGGGATCCAACTTCTCTTATTAACGGAATTATTACATGAAATAACCAAACTGCATAAAGCCATGCAGCATTTTCTTTATTTCACTTCCGGAAACACATTTTTTCGTCTGCCTTCCAATGACAGGGCTATTGGAAGATCTTCTCACAAAACCTTCAAGAATAAGTTCTTATTAATATTATTATAAGGCCCTGCTTGCTAGAAAGCGTTTATTTAGAATCGTTTCTCATATTGTCGACTGGGTTGTTTCTACCTACGTACATGTGTATGTATGTGTTTGCATATTTACATCTTTATATGTAAAATGTAAATTTATTGTTTTATTATGCCAGCTGTAAATAAATTTTGCTCTTGTACATACATACATACATACATATGTATGTATCAAGTGTCTTGTTTTTGCTACCGTCAGATGCCATTGCCAAGCCATTTTTCATTATGCTGGCTCATCTCTGCCATTTGCGTGCGGGTGGGTGGTTCCTGTTTATGTGTGTGTATGCGCCAATTTGGCGATATTGCCAGCTCTGCAGATACACAGTATGTATGTTTGTATGTATTTCGAACAATTACAGCTTCAAATTCGAAAAAAATTTGGCCTGGGATCGAAAATAACAGTTATTTTCGAAATTTTAATTCAAGAAGTCGGATATTTGAATATAGTAGTGTGTTGCTTGTTAGCTAAGGAATATGAATCTTAAATGCATTAAATTTTTTTGATATTTTTCAAAAAAGTCGATAGTTAATCTTTATTTTGCGACCGATATTTTTTCTGTCAAAAATAGAAATTAAAATTTTACTAATTTTTTCGATCAAAAATAAAAGTTAAAATTTGGCTTGTATTTTTCCAATAAAAAATAAAAGTTAAAATTTGTGTGTATATTTGCGATCAAAAATAAATTTAATAAAATTTAATTTCATCGGCTTGTAAACGTTTTAGTAAGAAACGTTTTATTGCTACGTATAAACAAGCTATTAGTCGTTTTTGCAATCATAGGCAGCGAAATAAAACAATAGGAAGATCGGCAGTAAACTGTTATTTTTGATCGAAAAAAATAATGTTAAAAGCCAAATTTTATTTTTGATCTAAAAAATTTAAGTAAAATTTTAACTATTATTTTAGACCACGGTCCAAAAGCACTTGTAAATTTATTAAAAATGTAAATGAAGCTCATAATTTCGTATCTATTTTTTGAATTATCTTACGCTAGGCTCTTGTATTATGTTGTGTTAAGATCAGGCATGGGCAGAGAGTTAGCAGGTGCTAAAAGAGCGTAAGCTTCGCGTGTACGTATACAAGCGAGAGCGCAGCGATGAGAACACCACAGCGTGCAAAATGAATTAGGCACACTAACACATTCTTACTTTTTGCTCACGCTTGTTTGTGGTAGTGCCCACCTCTGGTTAAGATTTTACATATTTTCGAATAAGTTTTATAATCCATCCTTTCTATTCTTTGTCTTTTCTTAACAAAACAGAGCACGATGGTTCGTGGCGCTAAAGCTGATGCGAAACCCCGAGGCCGCATGACAGCGTACGCATTCTTTGTACAAACATGCCGAGAGGAGCACAAGAAGAAGCATCCCGATGAGACAGTGATCTTTGCTGAATTCTCCCGAAAGTGCGCTGAGCGATGGAAGGTGAGTTTCAGATCTATTGTTTCAGCAATTACATATATACATATAAAGTACATGTTCTATAAAAGGGTATATATTTATTTAGTTATGGTTATTACGTATGTGCTAGAAGCCTTCACAGAAGTATGTACGTATTATATTTACCATTCTGCAAAGCGGAGGCAATAGTTTGCAGTAATTTGTTACCCAAAGCACTATAATGACTCTTTTCTCCATGCGACCTAACATTAGCTAAGAGCTATGTAGTTTTTTGCCTTTTCTGACAAGCATGAAATCAGTTAAGATAACTTTAAAGAACGTGGCGATAAGTTTCGGTAAACAAGGAAAAATTATAACTTCGGGCCTATGACTTTTCTTAAAAACAATAAAATTATTCAGTTCATTTAAATATCCATGCCCATAGCAAACATCTACACCTAATATTCTGCCTTAAATTGGCTCCCAAAGGCGAGTTATATTGACAGGAATGCTGTCAGTGGCATGTCCTTTAGGTTAAAATCAGTAAATAATAACTAATTATTGCCTAACGCCCTCTTCTTAATGGACCCTGAAAGGGGAAGGTAATTGTGTCCGGCTTGTTGATATCCTTTGCAGTGTGACCAGATGACCCCAAAAACCGAACCGCTAAAAACTTTTCACCAATTCGACAAGTTTAGCGAAAGCGATTTTCTGTAATACTTTTTTTAAATCCTTCGCATGAAAAAAAAATTAAGTTTATTAGACTAATAACGGCAACATAACGTAAAAAAGGTATGCAAAAGGAGTTGGTTTAGGATAAAAACGCAAAAAGATTTTGAATAAAGAAAAATAATGGTTTTCCACATCATAGTATGTACACTGGTAGTACGCCAACAAATCAAATTGTATAAATATAATTGTTTAAAGCTAATGTTTAAAGCTAATCTTTTCTTATATATTTTTTTTAACTAAGAAAGTGAAAAAATAATAATTTTCTCAAAGCAAAGTAGCATAGTAATTGTAATGCTAAATCTTGCCTCAAAAAGGCTTGTCTGATCACACTGGTCCTTAGGAAGACTAAGGCTGACATCACTGACAAGCAAGAAACACGGTTGACGGGACAAGGCCAAATACACGTGGGTTCTTGCGACGTGTGCTACAGCCCCCATGTAAAGGAGCGTTAATTTGGTTAACTTGGTTCGTCCCCAAGCACTGTCGTTATCGAATCGTCACAATAAATATTTATTCTTATTCGTCAACATTTAATTATTTACGACCACGTCCTGACGGAAGATAAGGACGAGGCGGCCAAGACCTCTTCTATGAGCACTTGAAGCGCACTTACGGACGCTTGTCTCGTCACAATATAAAAATCTTGCTTAGCGGTTTCAATACCAGTGTGGTCAAGGAAAGTATCTTTGGCTCCCTGTCGGAAAAGGAATTGCGGTTGATTCATTTTACTGTCGCCCGACACACGACGGAAGATTTACGGGTTTTTGCGCGTTAGTGACGGTGAATACCGCAGACGATGGTACGGTGAGCTGTTTGAACTTAAAAATGACATAGTACAGTGAATTAAAATACAGCGGCCAGTGAATTAAAATACAGCGGCCTGACTCGGTGATAATTTAATAAATTCTTTTTAATAACTATCCTATGAAAAATTTTTTGTCAACAATTTTATAAATAATTGCCGACATTCGGGACTAAATTCAAAAAAAAGTGGTAGCATTCAAACGTAAAATTTTTTTTCTTTCAGTTTTCAACATAAAACATTACATTTTTTATGAATGGATGCCGTTAAAATGTAATCAATGTTATCATTAACTTGATTATTTTGAAAGAGTGAATTATGCCACTTTTAAAATAAATGGCTTGTTTGTTGTGGGTATATCTACTTAGATTATTTTTGGAACAAGAATGGGTGTTTGTTTTTTGTTGAAGATGTGTTTATTCGTTATATGTAAGCAAAAGGACAAAAAAAAATTCTAAAAAACAAC